GGGAGTGGTGGGGGGGGCGGCCGTCTCCTAAAGAAGATGAAACATTGGGTATTTAGGGTTTTTTCTTTTAGCTCCTCGTAGCTTCTCCCCTCTCACATAAATTTTTACGCCATAACCCCCCATGCATTTAAATTTTTCTACTAGTGTGTTGTGAAATCTATTCATATATAAAGTAACTTGGTTTTCAAAACATATTACTCCTCAACTCTTTTTTTTTTTTCTTTTTTTTTTGTTAATTTTAATTATTTTTTATTTTTTATATTGTTAAAAGCAAATAATATCAACATGATTTAATAAAAAAAATTAGTAATTATAAAATTAATATATTCAATAATTTAATTTTTTTTAAATGATGTTAAAAATACTAAAAATAATGTAAATATATTAAAAATATATTTTTTAGAGCTAAAATAATTAAGATATGATGAAATTAAAAGACATATTACTAACATGAAGCGTGTAAAGAAGATAAATGGTGTTAATTTTTGTGAGATATTCAATTTAGTCTTTATTTTTTTACTAATTATAATAATTAGATGCCTCTAATTTTTAAAGTTTTTTTAAAAAATTAATTTTGATTCAAAATTTCATTCTCCTTATTTTTTTTAATTCTCTAGTTTGAGAGAAAATTTCTAAATTTTGGCAGTTGGTGGAGAAAAATATTATTGACATTAATTTTAATTTTGATATTTATATCAAATAGTTCTATTTGATTAAAGGAGTTTAACTTGTTTTTTTTTTTTGTTTTTACCTTGAAAGTATCTAAAAAAAATATTAAATTGAAAATATATTTCTTTGTTACTTTCAAGTTTTGGGATGGTTTTTTGGGTTTTTGAGTCATTGATGGATTTATTAAAATACCTAGAGTATTTTCTAAGAGTACTAAAAGCAATTTAAGGTATTTTTAAAGCCCATTCAATTTTCTAGTAATGGTTGTTTTTCAAAATATTTTTTATTTAAAAATATATTAAAATATTTTTTTTATTTTTAAAATTTATTTTTGATATTAGCACATTAAAATAATATAAAAAATCTAAAAAACAATAATTTGAAACAAAGAAGAATATTAAAAGAAAAATAATTTTTAAATATAAAAAAATATAAAAATACACTTGCCCTTACAATCCTAGTAATGTTGCATTGCTTTGGGACCGGAAAAAAAAAATTGGAATTCAAATGTATTATCTCATCCTATAGTTTTTAAATTTATATTGAGATCGGAGAATTTTGTATGTTTTCATATAATTTTTATATTGTTCTTTAAATTTGTCCAAAAAATATTTGTCATGATATTATTATTTTGGATTGAATTTGTTTTTGCAATATTCTTCTTTTACAGATTCATATTTGGTTATTGTCATCTACCTTTGGATGATACGTTTCGATTAAAATAAAATAAAACTAAATATTTTATAATTAGATTATCATTCATATTCATTTTTTCTTAAAAAAATAACATAGTTATAATCTTGATATGTTCTCTTAATTTTTAGTAGAATTTCTTTTTTCTTTTTTGCAGAAAAGGAATAGCAATTGTCTATTTTTAATTGAAAAAGAAAAATGAAAATGAAATTAAAAATAAAGATGGCTAATGTTCTATTGAAGGAAGTTGACATTTCATCAGAATGGATTCTGAGCTTAAATTTCATCGAAGCTGTGGAGAAGGTTGATGAGTTATTTTAATAAGGGGCTGCCCTACTATACCCACTCTCCAAGTTGAGAAAACAAAAACCATGCACATACACTAAATTAAATATTCACAGGGAGTTTTCATATCACAGAAATGGAGTTTCTGATCTATTTCCATTGAGACAATAGTGCAATATAGTGCAATATAGTTGCACAGAAGTTCTTGCAAGAGCATTTGACCGAACTGTACATAGTCTACTTTCCTTTTTTTTTTTTCAGTTGACTGGACTGGAACAACGCAATACTGAATATTATATGGTCTTTGTGACTTTGACCAAAAGAAAACACCTTTTGGAAGCCTCCGTGTTCACTCTAGTCATGGCATTATTCAATCTTCGAAAGAGAATACCACCATAACAATTTCTAATGGGCCCTCAATTCCCTTTAAATCTATTGTCATTCATCCACTTTACATGGTTGAGGACAATTCACTTCCTATTGTTAAAGGAAGTGATCTATATATATATAGATAGATAGATGTGAAGGTATATTGATCCTTAACTCGTAATACTTTGCCCTCCTACCTTAATATAGGCATTATAGAAACTAGAAAGGCTACATCCTCTTTTCAATAGAAAGATGGTCAAAACAACCTTGGTTGATAAAAATGGTCTCAGGAAAGGTGCATGGAGTAAAGAGGAAGATGATAAGTTGAGAGTTTATGTTCAGAAATATGGCCACTGGAATTGGCGACAACTTCCCAGGTTTGCTGGTAAGTAAGATACCATTTTCTTTCTAGATCTTTGATGCTTCAAACAAAATGGTTTTCAAAAGGAAATTTCACCCATAAATTCATGTTTTCTCAACTTATCATCATAAGCATTAGCATGTTCTAATCCAATTTCCAGAGATGATGAAAATAAATCACCTTAATTTTATGAGTTTTGTTGCTTCCTATCAATGTTCCCATAAACTTTTCTGAAAAAAGAAACAAAATATGGTGCAGTTTTCTGTTTTTCCCTTTAGAATTTAATTTAGTCATCTTTTACAGGTTTATCAAGGTGTGGCAAGAGTTGCAGATTAAGATGGATGAACTATCTCCGGCCGGACGTGAAGCGTGGTAATTTCTCTGAGGAAGAGGATAATTTGATCATTCAAATGCATGAAGAACTTGGAAATAAGTAAGCTGCCATTAATTTCAAAATGAATTCAACTTCATCGAAATTTTCTTCACAAAATGTCACTTCTTTCACATACATGTGAAGAAATTAAGTATATATTTTTTCTTTTGACTGGAAAATTGAAAGCATAGCTATGATGGAAATGATTGACTAAGTGTGATTTTGTCTTCTGCAGATGGTCTATCATTGCTGGGAAATTACCTGGGAGAACAGACAATGAGATTAAAAATCATTGGCACACCAACTTGAGCAAGAGAGTGAAGCAAAGCCAATCAGTTTCTTCTGAGTTGGTGAATAAAGAGCAATCAAGTGAAACTTCACAGTCTGAAGATGGTCAAGCAGAAAAGTCCGAAACTGAAAGTGTTTCTGTCAATACTCCATCAGAACCTGATCGTCACCCGAAAATTGTAGAGAACATTCCTTCACCTCAAGAAATATCATGCAGTGAGTTATCCTCCATGAATAATGATTATGTGTCAGGCATGAATGGTGCTGCAGATAGTTTCTCTCCAATAGAAATATTTCAAGATTCAGGTTTCTGGAACCAGCCATTTTTAGCCGACAACAATGACAGCCAAGATGGTTATCATTCATTGTTATTCACGGAAGAAGTATACATGCCATCCTATCCATTCAACTATGACGATGATAGTATGGATTGGATCCAGCAAATGATGCAGGAACTGCAAGAGAGTAATTAAATAAAAATGGTGCTTTTTTCCATGTCTAGAATCTACAGTTGTTTGAACTTCATCTCATGATCAGATTTGTGGTAGAACACTAATCATATGGTAGTAGAATTGACTAATATAGAGAAGTTATGGAGTAAAATGCTTGTTTTTCTCAAACTACAAATCAGATATGTTCATTTCCATACATGATCATGCATGCAAACAAGAACTTAGCCAAGCCTTTTTTTCATAAGAATAAAACTCGGTTACAGCAGCTCTGATACTGCATTAGAGAATGATCACTGAAATTTAATCTAAAATGAAAACAATAATATTAATGTCTACAAACTTTCTCTGAATGGTTTAAGAAAAATCCAAGTACGTTGAACTTGAAACGTCTAAACTAACAAAAGAAATAGCGAATTCTGAAACGATTTTGAAATTTGAATTTCTTACGAGAAACTTGAGCCTTTAACACCTTTTGAAGTGTAGGATTAGATAAGATCTAGATAGGTCATTGGTTAATTCTGAAGATAAAACAAGAAAAACAGCAACTATAAGAACATAGAATTCTATGGAAAGAAGATATTTGCAATTTCTTAAATAAATATACAAGTAAATCTAAATAAACGATGAAATATAAAAATAACAAAATTAACTCGAATAGTATAACTTAAGTCTAATTTAAAGGTCTTTTAAACTTTGAAATAACTACAGCAAGCTGACATCAATATAAAATTGGATGTCTAAAATTTTCTGATTAAAATTTAGCGTGATAAATTATAATTTATTTTATAATTTTGATCATTTTATTCTATGGTCATTTTGTCCATGAATATCCCAAGAAAGAATATTGACTGACTAGGCTTAATTGTGGCAAATCCACTGACAGATGACACCACACATGCATTAACAATTCGGTGTAACTATCAACTAAATGAGACCTAAATATCCAAGTAATGAGAGCCATAAGATATGATTTCATGAGTTATTACATTCCACACGACAAATCAATAAGCAACTGATCATTTGAAACATTGTGCACAAAACCTGAAACGAATGCTGATAATAATTTTACCTAGATGTTCCTTACGACATGATTTTAGCGTTGTTGCCCTTGTTCTTGGTCCAAGTCATGAATGCTTTACGAGAAAATCGTCTATCTTCGAAGAGTGCATGGAACAGAGCTCAACTTGAGGAGGTAGAATCAAAGTCAAAGTTGCGATGGCTGAAACATGCAAGGCATGCCTGTTGATTTGGCCAAAAGCAGGGAATCCACTAGCATGGATTTTCATATGGTGTGGATTACTACACATTCCGATTGTATTTTGTCGATAAATCATACCTCTTTATTTTTTATATTCTTTGTGAAGTTAATTTTATTTTCAAATATGCGTTAATCTTTTAATTTATCATTACCAGTCGTTTAATCTCTAATTTTATTATCACCTAATAATATATAAATTATTTTTGTGGATTTTTCCAAACATCTCTCCAATCTATTAAAGATAAATCATGTACATCTATTTCCTATAGCTTAAAACTTGAATGTTACCACTCTTAAAAGCGAATGCTGCCAAGAAAAAATTAATTAATTTCATCTCAATTTCAAAACCTCATTTTTAAAAATAAAATATTGAATTAGGAGGCAATATAGGGCAGAAGAAATATTATTATTATTATTATTATTATTATTCCGGAAAGAGGCTCAAGCCTCAAATCCTTCAAGAAGGAATGAGTGATAAGGAATTGATAATTACACAAGTAAAGAAATGTTTAATTACCACGGCTGAGCTTCGAACAAGCCTGTCCCCACTATTGTTCCCGAATGTTTAATTACCACGGCTGAGCTTCGAAGAAATTGGCAATTTGTAGGTTGATATCTCAACAAACTCAACTGTCCTCAAACTTAAATAATATCATCCAACAAGCCTGTCCCCACTATTGTTCCCCGTCCAATTAATCATATGCCTAAGTATTCAAATTTCATTTCGCATCTTTGGATTTTTTTATTTACTTCTACTTCAAAAGTGGAATGAACGTTTTTTTTTAATATTTATTTAATATATCAAGATTTTACTTTTTATTTTTTATAATAAAAATTAATTTTTCAAAATTTTTTTAAAAAAATATTAATAAATAAAAGTCACTTTACTTTTTATTTTTTATAATAAAAATTATTTTTTCAAAATATTTTTTAAAAAAATATTAAAAACATACTCCAACTAGATAAATAAAAGTCATCTTAATTATATTTAGGTTATGTTGATTTTTGTATTTTAAAAGTATTTTAAAAAAAAAATTAAATTTTTTTATCTTTTTACTTTAAATTAATATTTTTTTATATTTTTAGATTATTTTAATATGTTAATATCGATAATAATTTTTTTTAAAAAATATTTTTTTAATATATTTTTAAATAAAATATAATTAAAAAAATAGTTATCACCGTATTTTTGTTTAAGTCGTTAGGCTGCTTTTTTCAATGACATTTGGACGGAAGATGCGACTGCACCGCCATCATAGCCACAGTAGTAGAGGGAATTACCATAATAGGTATTTTGTACTATAGTCCGTTGACTTTTATTCATCATTTCCTTTAATTTGAAATATACCTTCCAATGATTTTAATTTTTTAGAGGAGAAACAACATGATGGGTACTTAATTAAAAAACAATAATTAACACGTGTGAATTAGATAGTAGTTATTAAAGGTTCAGAGACTATTTTATAGGTTTTTGAGATGTAAGCGACTAAGTTATAATCTCATTTAATTATTTGTAGATTACATCATTAAAATTTTTAATTAAAAAAATAAAATTTTAATTAGAGATAATATAGTTTTTTTTACATGATTCATTGATCATTATAAAATTAATTGGGAATAACTCAAGTTTTATATATATTTTTATGCAATATAATTATTTAATTACTCTTAAAAGACAAGTTATTTAACTTGGATTTAGATTTTTTTTTTTAAAAAATTCTTTTCATATTATAATTAAATGATTATATCATCTTTAAAATCAAAATTTCTTTAACTTATCTTTATAGGCTTATTCATACTTTCAAGTCCTTGTTTTGTGATAATTATGTGGTCCAAAAGATAATTTAACCATAAATATAAAATATAAAAAACAATGGTTAGTAAATACAATATAAGTTGTTTTGCTATATTCAAGTAGTGTGTGTGGTAACTTATGATAGCTAAAAATATTTTTCTTTGGATATTTTTGAATTATTATATCAGGTCTGCATCTTTGAATGGCATGTTTAGTATAATTCCCTCTAGTTTGGTACAATTAAAATTAAATTTTATTTTAGTTTTGATTTGAATTTTATAAAATTATCATAATTTTATATTTTGGATCACAGCTTAACTATAACTAACCTAAATCAAGTCTTGTTATCTTAATTTTTTTTAAAAAAATATGTCATCTAATACCTTATATTTTTAATATTTTAAAAATATTTTGTTCAGCATGTATTGAATTTTTTTAATTCTCATGGTCTTTATGATTTTTTTAAAGGTTAGAAAATAATTATCAAACCTGCTATGCATCACAAGTCAAGAATCTAGTATATATAATATAAGCCACTAGACTAACAAACGTCCATGAATATTTAACCAGACAAGAAATGGGAGGATCCAATTAAGTTTATAAGAATAATGCATTTACTTCGAAATGTGTTCCCCCAAGTGCTTCACCCGGCGTGGGTTCACACTTTCTTCGGAGGAAGTTTCCTTGTTCAAATATACATGGAAAACGTACATCGTTCCATCCTTCAAGACTTTTTCGTCGTAGCTTCTTCTGGGGCCTCTGATCCAATAAAAATACACACTCGAAGTCATAGTGGGCATGTGAAAGTGTTGTATTTGAACAGAGAACTTGACTTCATAGACTATTACCATGACCAGAAGGTTAGAGGAACTTGCCTTGAATTAGTATGTCCTCAAGAAAGCGCCATGCATCTTCGGCTGTTCAGGGGCTACCATCAAAGTGAAAACAGTCCAAGAAAATTGAAGTGTGGGCCTTGGGGACCTTTAATTCCCAGCATTTTGAGCCTCGGGATCTGAGGGTCATGAGTCCCTCAATAGTTGTGCAACACATTTATGTAATTGACTTGCGAAACATGGATGCCACGTTATTTTCTGGGAAAAGAAGATCCCCACACACCCACACGCGAAATGCAAAGACGACCAAGGCTTATTTTTGGATAGACATCCCCTTCGGATAGACTTTATGTTGGTGTACAAAACATACTGGATGTATATAAACTATTAGGACTTTTATGCATGTTTATATAATTAAAAAATCTCGTTGCATTTATATTTACAAATTAAATTAATCGAATATTGATATATATAAATCCAATGCAAGAAAAACTTTTTTTTTCTAGCTTCCCTAATGAGATTTCAGCTCTCCCATGATAATTTTTCTAATTTGACCCTTTTAATCTCATTTTCGAGCTCCGTCCATGGATATATCAACTGAATTTGTTAAGATAAAACCTAAAACGTTCTTGTTAATTGAATCGATCTTTTGAGATCTATATTAGACAATTTTTTACCTTAAAGAAATGTATCTTTGTAAGACATCATGGCATGCTAGTCACAAATTTTATAACTTTAAGGATTTTCTTTTTTGATCTTTTGACTAAGATATCAAGCATTTTTAGTGGATGGAAAAAACTACTTGCATTTTTCCTTCTTTTAATCAAACAACGGACCTTTCATTGGCTGTGGGTACTGGCTCGGTCGTCGTGTTCCATGCATGCAGAGAGGACACATACAGTGAAGTAAACCCAATTCGCCAAGAATCACGAGTCTTGAATCGGACAAGATTTTGTGTCAGCTTTTTTTCCTCCTCTTTTCGACAATTATTTTGATAATTATTTGCTTTACTTTGTCAGTCAAATCATCTATTTTTAGTGTGAAACGAGATTCGATATCACTCAAGCATTTAATTTTCCAGGCCCTTAACATAAATATGTGCCTCCCATCTGTATAACTAGAATATCTTGTGTGATTGATGTGATGTCTTTTTATGGGAAAAAACCATTCAATCAGAATGTATTTACATGATTATAAGATGTGTTGTGAATTGTTTATATTATATTCACTCAAACTTATATCGTATGCTTATTTTGGAATTAATATTTAAAAAAAACATATTTTTTCAATCACAAGGAAATATATCCTTATTTATATGAAAATTCTTTTTCATAATATATATACACACATACACATACGGGCGCTTGTTTTCCAACAACACTGTAATTATTCAAAAAAAACATTTTTTGGGGGGGGGGGTAATTAATGAACATTTTAGAACTCCATGAAATATGAATGGCTTTCTCAAACAGGGCAAAGTGGAAATAGATTTGCTATAGGCTTTATTGGACCTTTGAAGTAAGTCCAATGTGGAGGAAGTGTGTGTGTGTGTTTTCCAACAACACTGTAATTATTCAAAATGAACATGTTTTATTTTATTTTTTAGGGTAATTAATGAACATTTTGGAACTTGATGAAATATGAATGGTTTGCTCAAATGGGGCTAAGTGGAAATAGACTTGCTGTAGGCTTGATTGGACCTTTAAAACAGGTCCAACATGGAGGAATTGTCTAAGCAGATGAAGTTTTAAAATGGCTAGATAAAACCAGGCCTGGGATAAAGTGTTATCTGTCAGGACCAAAAACAAGTTTCTAGCAACAAAGACAGGCCATGGCTTCAAGACCATAAGGCCCGTTATTTATCTGGATTAGTGACAAAAGAATTTTAATGTTCAGAACCAAGAAAATAAACTACCCAATCTTGGACTTCACAAACCACAAAACGAAAATCTCAGTTATTTCCACAGAGATTGTCATGCTTAAAATTATTTAGCCTAAACTGGCTAACAGAATTTTCCTTAAACCAAAAATATGGATTGTAGTTTTTGATGTATATCCATGAATGTAGAAGGAATTCGACAAGTTGACAAATGTAGAGAGCAAAACCATAGAATAAACAAGGCTGTGTGCCTTAATTAATTCAAAAGCATGACATGTTTTGTTTGGGTTCATAAAGCATAGAATGCCATTATCAAACCATGTTAAACATGGTTCCGTTTTTATAGATCAATCTATTGATCTGGTAATTGATTTCGATCTGGTTTAATATTAAACCAGGTGCAAGTAGTCACATTTTGATCTAAATTAATGCTATTAAGTCTTGAAATGATATCGTTTTGATTCATCTGGTTTAACCCATCCACTCAATCCCGAGAACCAGGGCAGGCTGGTTTTATAACTATGGATGAAGCTTCTTCTATAACATGCAACGCCGGTTGTCAGTTTGATACTGATGTAAAAGGATTGCCAAGGACGTCAAATGCATCCCGGCCGCTTTCATATCAAAAACGCTAATGGAAACCATAATCAGAGGGATTTACAAGCTCGCGATGGAAACCGATGGTTTAGATCGAACAATCGTAGAGAAGGATTCCCTTGATATCTTCCAAAGTAAATTATCCAAGTAATACTCAAGCCTGTAAGCAACGTTTGTTCTTTGTTATTATGGCACATATAGTGGTGGATTTACAAAGGAGAGTAAGAACTTTATCAACTTAATTTTATCTCTTTCTCGGGTTCCATGTGACTTTGAGTAGGGTATCCACTAACTTTAATTGCATTACTAATTACTAGCACGCAGCAGAGTCCTCAGTGGAGTCCAGCCAGTGCAGGAGAACGACAAATGAAATCAAAGGGACTTCCTCACTCTCTGAAGTCCATACCTTTCTCTGCCATTTCTTCTTCTAGCTTTTAATTTATTTCATGCAAGCTTTTGTTGGCTATGAGGATTGGGAAGGGAGATTGGTGTAAGTTATTGGCCCCACTAAGCGAGTTTACATTTGTTTCTAGCCAAGCTTTTAACCTAGCTAGTTTTGTTTTCGCATGCGAAGTGGTGTCAAAAAAACGAAAAACTGTCCTTCCCTGTATGAAGCATGCTGGCCTAAAATTGTATTTAGACAAAATATTAAGAATGGCAATTGGCTGTCTCCAAGCAGTTTCTCCATGGAGATGGAGGTAGGGCAAAAGAAAAATCCCTATTGGGTTGGGTATGGAACGAGGGACGGTATCCTCTTTCTCGACGGAGCTTCATACCTGATTATGTAAATAAAAAATTTGATAAATTTGCCATTATATCATCAGATGTAAATGTGCAATACCCTAATTTTTAAATCTAATTTTATTTCAATAAACATAAAAAAAAAAATGTTAGGAGGGAGAGAGAATCAAACTTCATATCCATTATGATTTCATTACGATTATAAACTAATCTGATTATCACGTTAAACATGAAAGACTAATTTAATCCCCTCTTACTTCGAAAGTGAAAGTGTGAATGCATTACTTGGACATTCCTATGTACTAATGAAGAAGCATTACAATACAATTAAAAAAAGATGGGGTGGAAACATTGTTTATAATGATAATTTTAAATATCACCCTCTCTTTTATTTTTATTTTTTAAAATTTCTTAAGACACACTTTTTAATTAGTAGTTATTTTCTAATTTGATCATCTTTCAAATAGATTATTGTAATTTATCTTTATTTTTTCCTTTCATATTTTATATAATTAATTCTTATTTACATGATGTATTTATAAAAATAGAATTTATTTGTTCTTGGTTAAAGTATCCATAATATTAACATATTCTTTTATTAAATTGAAAATTAATGTTAATTTTTAAAGAATCAAACTTTTATTCTTGAAAATACCCTTACATTGTAATACAATAAGATGAACATGTAATTGATTGGCCAATTATGAGAAAGAAAAGTTGCATATATTTCGTACGTTCATCTACTTCCTGTCCTACTAGTATACAATTACAGAAACAGTAAATGAATTATTGTTGTGTCTGAACTATAGCTAGATGTTGATTTGGTTAGTTAAAACCATCCTCAGCTGATGCCATGGATCAAAGCAGAGACACATTGACCATCACCACAGTGTCCTTCCCAGCTACCCACTTTCTTGCTTTTATGTCAAACAGGATTTCCTGTCGATGGTGTTTTTGCACTGCATGATACCCATCTGACAAAGTTTTTTAATTAGAGACAAAACTAAGAGATAATGTTTTGTTACATATTTATACCTTTCTTCCACCCATTGCATCAATTTTGTTTTTTCAATTTTCAAGCTGAACCCTTCCTTGTTTCCTCACGGTTGCCTGAGAGATTTTTGTAAGTTTTTAATATTATAATTTTAAAAATTTATATTATTTTGATATTTTTTAAGAATAAATATTTAAAAAATTAATATTTTTAACTACAATCTCGAACACCAAACACACACTGAATCTTAATGCTACCTTGTGTGCAATCTCTATCATCTGCTACCTCAAAGAACGGAAATCTGAACGATGGATCCAAATAATCTTTGATAGGGAAATCTCAATTTGTAGGGGACCGTGGATTTGTCCCATGATAAAGAATCATAAGCTTTATTTTATTTTTTTTATTTTTTTGTCTCAGTTCTATGTATGGTCTCCAAACCCCAAAAACTTTTGATAATATATAGAAGCAAAGCATGACGAGCCCTTTTGTGGCTGTGCAATATGTTTTGCTGTTTGAAGCCCAACATATCCACAGCAAATCCCTGAGACCATAGATAAAGTGCTCCCTCAGAAGCCTTCAGCTAACCCAAAATAAAACAAAACAAAACAAAGAAACCATGCCAAACCTTTATTTTAAAACACTTTCAGTGATACTAAATTTTGACATTAAAATTATTCAAAAATATATAAAAAATAAATTTTTATAAAATAAATTTGTGCTGGATTTTCCCCAACAGCGCCATTATTGTTAGTACTATGATCCAGTGACTCAGCCAGGCACGAGGACATAACCCACATAAAACCAAAAAGAACCACAGAAATCCATCCCTGCAATTCAAAGTGAAGTTCTGTCCTTTTTGGCTGTAATATATCAAAATTCCCCTTTTAATTTTATAATTAGTTAAGGATAATAGGTTGCATCGAGTGAGTTCATGCAGCATGCACGATAGGATTGAAATCTCTTCAATACATCAACCTCCCTCCAGCAAACTCTCTAATAATCCCATTTTTCTTCTCAATGTCTTTTCTTTCATTTTCATCCTTGTTATTTGTAGCAGCTAGAGTCACACTCAAATGGACCAGTGATAACTATTTCACCAAAAAAGAAAAGAAAAGAAAACTCGATCCTCACATCAGCATAGTCGTTGCATCTGAGAAAGCTGAAAGCTGAACCGTTTGATTATTACAGAGAGCACTGATCTTTCTTCTCTTGATGTCTTTCTCTGGCCAGGTTTTGTTGCTGCCATTGCTAGATATCATCACAACAGTCCCATTGGTGTTTTCACTTTCTGAGCTTGAAAAATGCCGGTCAAGCACGTTGACTGGCGTATCAGAACTTGACACCATGTCAAATTGTGACTTGTAACCATCAATTGCTGTTTCTTGCATTGCATTATAGCATTCCAACAAGTTTTCCTGTAACAAAGATTACCATAACGTCAATGTGTTAGGGTAATGTATTAATTGTGTTTAGGTAGTGTTTTATATATATATAAAAAGCATTTGGAAGGAATTTTGATCCTTTTAAAATATAAAATACAAAGAGATATTATGTTTTATCTTTTTTATTTCGAGATAATAAACATTCTATAACTAATATGAAAAAAAAAAAGTTTAAAATACAAAGAGGGAGATCAACCAAAGCCCTTTTTCTTACAGTTGGAAAGTTTCATTACCATGCCCTTACAACATTATTGTGCGCTCTAAATTAAAATTATGAAGACAGCATTTTAAAAAATAGAGATAACACTAACCCTTCTTTTTTTTCTTTGGTCCAACATTCCCCATTCAATAAACTATATTCTTGCCCTCTTCTCATAATTCGAAATAATATCTTCAAGCAAATTAATCTATACTCGATGTACATCTATGTCTGTAGTCTTCTCACGGATTCGAAACTTTTTTAATAAAAAAGGAAAAACGTAAAATCTTCAATTTTGAAATCTCACATTCACCCATTTGCACTATCCCGAGGCAACTATTCTTTTCCCTTTTTTATGTTTAAAGTGTGCAATTAATTTGATAAAAATAAAAGGTTAAAAATCAGAATTCAATTAAAAAATTACCTTATTTACATATGAGCAGATGGATATGGCTTTTCTAAAGCATAAAAACTGCATAGGAAAAAGTTCATGACAAGCATAGAGAAGTGCTGAAGCAGCAGTTAATGATGGCCTGAACTCCAGAAGATTGATATCTGCAGACAAGACAAATCAGCACTCAGCCATGAAAATCCAATGAAAAGGGGCAAAAAACAAAAAACATAGCTCCAATTTTGGCCATTTTCCATTTGCCTGGATATGATTTTTGTATAAATGTACATACCATTTTGAGCTTTGAAGATGATTTCACAAGCTCTAGCTTTAAGAGCCTGCCTCAATGGTGGATCTTTAGGTTTGAACAAAGAAATGAAGAAAGAAATGAAGGAGAATGGCGTGATTGATCTCATCCTCCAATTTAAAGCCCCAAGTAGAAGCACCTCCATCTTTTGTATTGTTTGAGAGTCAAATACAAAACCACCATCACCCTACACAGATGAAAAAAATGTTTCTTTTTTTCATAATCAAGATGGTTTTTTTTTTCTGTTTGACAGTCAAGATGAAGAAAATTATTGATCTTTCACAAGTGAGTCTATGATATAGACATTGTATTGGATGAATATTTACCTGAATATCAGTGATATAGAATTCTGCTTCCTTCATTTTGGCTGCTAGAGAGACACAAGCAACTGCAAGAAGCTTAAAGACCCATGGCTTTGGTTGCTGTGATGATTAAACGTTAATAACAAATTCAGTTGGATCTACAACAAAATATAAATAGACAAACACAACCCATGAAAATATATTTTTTTTGCGTATAAATAAAACAGGAATTTGATTCTTTACAGGAATTCCTTGGCTCGATAAGAACCTATCGAGGTAATTAACAGCAAGATAGGACAAGGACGGATCAAAGTTGCAAGAAACCTGAAAAGATCACAAGAAATAATATGTCAGAACTGATCAAGAAATGTATGTATAAAGAGTTGATGCAAAGAAGACTATCATGTTTTACATTTTTTCCACTTACCCGTAAGACAGAAGAGATGGCTTCTCTTCTAAAAGAGACATCAAAGTCTATCTCTTTGAGGGTCTTTAAGTAGTTCTTTGAAGGCATGTGGTCAGATTCAATGTGGAAGAGAGAAGGGGTTGTGTCAAAGTGAAGCTCGTGAGAATTTGTTAATGGGTTTTCAAGATTGAAATCCATTGATTGCTCAGTTTGCAGCTCTCAGTTTAGCTTTAAAGATAGATAGAGCAAGGAAGATGTAGAGTACATTACTTGAAGAGAAGTGAACCAGAAATACAGAGAGAGAAAGAGTGGTGACCCTTTATTTCTCAACAAAGATGGCTATTAATACTAGAACTACAATGCTCTCTCTTTTCACTGAGAAGGAAAATTTTTGGTGAAGTGGTGATAAAAGATGGGGTCAGGACCTTCTGTGAGGAAGAAGATATGTCAGAAAAAGGATTGGTTGGAAAGGTAAAGAAAGAAGACAGGCAACTGGTTTATCTATTTTTTAACTGTTTTGACTTGGTGCTCTTGTGAGTCAATGAGATTTTTGCAACATTGATAGAATCCATGAGTTTTTATGAGAGAAAACGAATCACTAATTTGAAATAGGGCACTTGTGATCCAAATAAATTAACATTTTTCTCATACCATATAACATTATAATGAAAAAAAAAAAACACTTTTCACCTAACACACTTCAATGCGAACGGGAGTAGCATTTTCTCTTTCTTGACTTTTAAAAAAAAATCTCGTGGCTAAATATTTGAGGGTAAAATGATCTTTGAGTAGGATAATTTTGGTATTTTAAAATTAATTGGGGATAAAATAAGTATTTTGTATTTTAACTGTACAGTAAAATTATATCACTACCTTTAAAATAAATAATTTTTTTAATTTCTACTTAGAGTTATTTTTGTATTTTCATAGAAAAAATACACAATAACATAAGCTTTTTACACTTGGAATAAAATAAAACTATCTAACAACGGGGTTTTAATGTAATTTTAATTTTTAAAGCTTATTAAAAAGATCTTTGTGTTTTTAATAGCAAATAATTTGACTCATACCTTAAAGAATGTTTGTGTTATTTAAATATTTTAATAAATAAAAAAATATTTACGTATGTGGCTAATTCAGGAAGCTAAAATTATTGTTTCGGGTTGTTTTACATCCATCTCAACATGTTATCTATATATATATATATATATATATGCATCTCAACATGTTATCTATCTATATATATATATATATATATATAAAAAAAGTGTGCATGTAAAGGTTTGTTAGTTTGTCACGAATGGCGCATATAAAGGTTTGTTAGTTTGTCACGAATGGCTATTTCTTTCTTTTTTTTTTGTCTTTTTTTTTCTTCTTTGAATTTTGTGTTTACTATGCATCTTTCATTAAATTTCTCTTTTTTTATTTATTTCATGTTCTTTTAGTTATTATTTAATTTATTTTAAATAATTTATGGAATTTAATTTCATCCTCGTTTAGTTCTTGCTTTGTCAAAGTTTATTTTTGTTTTTTCAATTCATATTTATAATATTTTATATAATTTTTTATTTAATTTTTTTTATTTCATCCTTTATTTTATTTTTTTATTAGATTTCATCTTCATTTTTTTTATTAATTTTTCTTTTTTGAAAAGTTCTTTAATTGGTTTTCTTTTTAGTCGATTTTATTTTTCAATTTTTAATTTGTTTAGATTTTAGTTTCTTGGTTTAGTTCATGCGAGGATTTTATAAATTGTAAGTTTTAATGATTAACTTAGTTTTAGAGGTTCACTTGAGATTTGTTTGTTTTATTTAATATCTTTTAAAATCAATGTATTTTAAGTTTTATTTTTTGTATTTATTTAATTGGAGATTTGACTTTATTTTTCCAACTTTCTATATTCTTTATTTTATTCGTTGTTTTTTTATTTGATTGAGTTCTCTCATGTTTTTTTATTTATTTTTTATTAAGTTTATTTTTATAGATAAAAATTAATGATTAAATTAAATAAAATTGATTAATTAAATATAAATAAATGATTTTTTTTTCATGGTATTATTCTAGCAACTCATTCGGCTTTTTTTAATATCTCCATGCACTCTCTTAGGGTAGGGGTTTGGATAGTCTCAGCAAAATCTTATAATAGTGTGCATTGTCCACAATAAAATAATGGTGAGTCTCTAATAATTTTTTTTCTTTCACATATGATATTATTAATTTATTTTTTAGTTAATTGTTACCGGATATTTTTTGTACATTTCATTTGTTAGTGTTGTTTGTGGTTTAAATTAGACTTTTATATTATTTAATTTTATTGCATCCAATCAAGTTAATAACTTGAGTATTATATTTTTTTTGCTTTTTTATAAATAATACCATTGCCTAAACATCCATGTTATATGTGCAAAAAATTAATAGGCTCATGGTAGAACACATTTTAAAAATCTAGTTTTTATATGAATTTTAGTCCAAGATTAAATTTATATTTTAAATATAATTCATGGTATTTAAATGGAATAGTCAATGTTTGATGTTTTATTTTTCATTAAAATTGTATTTAAGGTATGTTTGATAGTGTTATTAAAAATTATATTTTATTGTGATCATAATTTAAAAAATATTTAGTTAATCAATGCACATTTTAATTTTGCATAGTTTTCATTAAAAAAAGTTATAAAGTGTGGTATTTTGTTTCAATAAAGGTCTCTCTTGAAACCTTTGTTATATATATATAAAAAAAAACATCATTTATAGTTTTTTTTTTTAAATTGTAATAACAAAAATCATCGTAACGCAAACACACATACTTAAATACTTAAATGACAGGGTTAGGGTTGGAAATTGAAAGTGCGAGTCATATAAATACTGATGCCATATTAACTGTATAATCCCACCTGTCAAACTATTTTTAATGAGAATGACAGCACATAAGATTATTTAGGTAATTAACATTGTGACATGACTTTACTAGTTAATTGTTATCCTTAACTACAGTTTCTTGAACAGCCTTGCTTTAATCCTTTACTACAGTTTCTTGAACAGCCTTGCTTTATTACTCCTAGCTTTCTTTCATTTCAAGAATTAACTGTCTGAAAGGTGCTTCACCTTCACATGCAAAAAGGAGTTCCCCACTCTTGCTGGGTTAATTCCAAGCCTGTGATAAATGCATCCAGCTCTACCAATACAGTCTGCCCAGACGACCATTTCTACTTTTGAGGTAACAAAAAGCAAAGATGGGGAATAAAATTTATTTGTTTTTGAGAGAATAAACAAATAGCATAGCTTTTTCTTTTTTTTAATGTTTGGGAGAGCTTTGGTTTTTTTTTTCAAAGCTTTTTTCACAAATGTTTTTACTTTAAAAAATATTAAATTGATTTTTTTAGTTTTTTTATGATTTTGAAGGGTTAATATAAAAATTATTTTTATTTATTTTTAGGTAGAAGAGACTATAAATAGGACAAAAAAAAGGTAATAGTTAAAATATTTTAATCATTTGAAGATGTGGAAGATGTGTTATTTAATGAAGCTGCTTAAATTGCCGGCCCATTATGGCAGGGGAATGTGCCTAATTGAAAACCGTAGTCACTAGTAAGTGTAATTACATTGAATATTTTGTTTTGTTTTGTTTTCCATGATATAAACACTCAGTCTAGTATATCAAAATAATTTTTCACACCTTCATTCTTTTGTCATAAATTTAATTTTTATTTTAAATCTAATATAAAGACTTTCTCCTTTTCTTTAGCAAAAGACATAGCCGTTTCATTATAATTTTTGGTCTAAAAAATAAAATTAATATTCTAATATTAAATTATCATGAATATAAAAATATTAAAATAACTATTATAAATTATGGTTTTGATTTTTTTTTGAAAAATAGTTGTGTATTGATAAACATCTTATTTTTTTTTATGAATATAATTCATCTTTCTTCTCAACATATGCTTACATTTTTTAAAAATTCTTCGTTAGGATCTATCCTAATTGTGTGGTGTTGGCTCTAAACAGTGAGCAAGACAGATCCTTTTGTTAGGATCAAAACAATTAGACAGAAGAAACAAATGATCGCTTTGAACTTTATGAATGAAAGTGCTCCAATTTACCTTTGTTTTGCCCCATGGTCCTCTTTTCAAACACTATTTCAAGTATGATGGGAACAAAGCTACAAAAGTCTCGTCATAATTAAAAGCAGGCAATCATGTGCGGTCGATAGTAGGAGGCCCCATATGACCATCCATTCTCAAATTCACCTGCTCTCGAAATTATGCACCAATCCATTTGCATTTAGTCCATGAAACCCAGTTGGAGCTAGTTCCTTTGTCTTCTTTGCAATCGATCGAGACAACAATGGAGAAATGACCGTTCTTTAAAAGAAGAAAAGGGAAGAAAGAAAGAACATGGTGACATGACATTGCTGGATGATATTATAAAAGTATTAAAAATTCCATGGAAGATGGTAGTTATGATGATGGTCATGATCATTCCTAGAAAATTTGTGATGGATTTAATGATTATAAAGACTGTGGCTTCATGGTGGCCTACATAGAGTGTTGGTGAAGGGAGGCAAACTCAGGAAAATTCTAAAGTTTTCGTTAATTAAATATGAGAGCTAGGCCCTGTATACTTTCCGCTGATAATTAACTTTTAGGACACAATAATTGGATATCAATCTAATCATCCATGGGAAGATTTTCATATTCCTTGGGAAACTTAAATTGGTTAGGCCATAATTCAATGTAGTGGGACAACTATTGTCGTCTCTATTACTTTCCCCAAAATTATTTGCAAGGAATTTATTATTTCTACTCACTAATTGCTATCGTCCGTACGATTTTTACGAAATTAAATCAGTTACTGCCAACCAACTTACAAACAATAAGATTTTTTTTTTCTTGGGGGACACTTTGTCTCTCCATACAATTATGCTACTAATTTGAGAGGGCATAATTTATAATTCAATTATTGAAATGGGTTAAAATTTTACAAATGCGTTTTATTAGTTTGATTTTATAAAGAATATCCGCCCATTGTAACCAGTTAAGATTATTTTTATTTCATTTAAGTTTTATTATTTACTTATATGGGTTTAGCTTATTATTTAAAATATTTCTGTAAATTATGAAGTTCAAAGTCTGGAAAGAAAATAAATTATATACATGATAATTATATGGCTTCATGCGAAAAATACTATGCTAGCTAAATGCAGTACTCATGCAATATTTCAAACGTGCTACAAGTACAAAACATATAACGTTTGACTTTAATTAATCGAATTCAATAACTCTACCTATAAGTTTGCAAAGCACTGTCCAAAAGATGATGATCTCAAGCATACATGTGTTTTCACGAGCTGCTGACAATCGAAAATGGAGATTCACTTTCCCAAAGACTCAATCATCTTTCTCCAAAAATGCTCCTCTTCTAATTACAAAGCTTTTACAATGTTCAATTTACTATACTTTTATACATGGTTTCAA